GCACTCTTTGTTTAGCTTAAAGCCTTCAAGTTTACATTGGTTAGTGTTTTCTTTTAGTTGCTCTACACAAGTATTTGGCTGAACTTTTTCATATTTTTATTGAATGCTAAGCATCAAATGTTTGTTTCAAGAATGATAAGATGCACTTTTTTTTTGGTTAGTGAGATTTATTGATTTTAAATGCTACAAAATAAGAAAAATGGACTAATAGTTTTGAGAACTTTAAATGCACCAAAGCCACTGAGAAAAATGTTATTACAAAATATATACAGTATATTAATTCTCAGGGTTCACAGTCTGGAAGTCACTCATTCGCAGCCCTTCCTCCCCCAGACGAATAAACAAAGCCCACCCTAGCCCCCTGTTGTTTCGGTCATCACCTCATTTGACATGCAAATGTTAGCAACCCAAGTAGCGGGTTAGCTCCTCTTCTCTTAAACTAGCCCCAAATTTGGCTGGGCGTTCTAGTTTTAAGGTTTTATGCTACCTCTAAGAATGTCTTATTTTTGAATTTTAAGAGCAAGCAATAAATATTTTTTGTGAAGGAATTCATGTTTTTTTCATTAAAATATTTAAATCAACATGTATACATCAATATTAGTCAATTAATGGGGAGATAATCGAGAATCGAATCGAAATCGAAGCGAAGCGAAAAAAAATAATCGTTAGATTAATCGATGCATCGAAAAAATAATCGCTAGATTAATCGTTTAAAAAATAATCGTTTATCCCAGCCCTAATTGGGATACATCTGATCTGGCTCACTGTCTAATCTATAATCTGAAACATGATGATAGTAAAAAAATTACATAAAAACACCAAATCAGAAACTTCCATACAGGAATAATGTGTTCTGAATAGGAGTCTCCTCAGCTGAATAGCGGTTCTCTTTTTTGAGGTCTTGCAAATTTAGTTTTAAGCGTGATTTTCACTGTATATGAACTTGGTGTGTTCATCCTGATTGGCTAAGGAAGAACCAGTGTATTGTGTTCTGCGTCCTGATTGGCTAAGGGGTCATCTCTGTGCCGTGTTTCCTGTATCACAGCATTCAGCCTGACAAATGTAAATCCATGTCTGATTGCAGTGTGACTGTAAGTGCTGTATGCTAATTATCTCCTTGACAAAACCGTGGACTAAACCCAAACATGGTTAGTGCTAAAAAGTTGAACTTCTGGACATGTTGCAACGATGACAGCAAAGAGGAGCACGGTGCGGAGCCCAGGCCTTTGACGAGGGATTTTCACACAGCACTAAGCCCATTTTTTTTTTTTTAAATTACAATTTTGATTTCAAGATTTCAAAAGGCTATAACTTTAAAGTTTGAGATAAAGGCATTTTGTAAATGAGAACTATCTTCAGTATGAACCAAACTTTGGGATGGATGTTGATTCGTCATCTAATTTGCATATTGTGACGTCATCAAGGTGGTGGCCATTTTGGAAAATGTTAATTATTGTATAAAGATTTCAAAAAGATGTAGTTTGAGAGTGTATTTTGAGATCAGGGAATACCATCAACAGTCTACGTGAAATATCTTTAGTATGAAAACACAATGTGGGATAGAAATAAATTCACTGATCAAATTTATATAGAATATTTTAGCACTGGTCCACGGCCATATGGAACTGTATTAGACCTTCAATGATCAAGATGGCACTGCTTATAGTTTACCAGTCATGAAATCTGCACTTTGGTTTCAATATTACCCTTTCAAAAGACCTGGTGGCATACAGTTTGTCTCAGTGGAAATGAGGCTCCAGAATTCATCGTTTAGAAACAGAGCGATTAAATGAATGGGCTCAGAACTTGTCAGATTGTCTCAACAATAAACAACAGGCTCTTCAACATTTCTGATCCACTTTTATGGATTATCTTCTCTAAAGAACTGCCTTCATCATCATCATCTCCGTCCGTAAAGGCAGATTAGCGGTGCGTTTTCTTTCGTGGCTTCTGCCACGTCTCCTGCGTTCCCCGCGGTTGTTCAACCCTGCTGCATTCACCCATATGCCCGGTGTTATGATCCCCCTGTCCCCTTCACCACGTCTCCAGTCTGGTGTTCGCAGAATGTTTCCACTGTGGCTGCACACCGCGGTAAAGAGGTCCGGGTTTTTGGAGTCAGCGGTAGAGAGGTCCGCACATTCAAAGCGGGTGGCCGCTTTATGTTAAACAGTGCATTGTGGCGGCTCATCCCCACGTCTTCTTTCCAATGTTGCTGTAATTAACAGCAGAAAGAGGCTATCCGCTTTTAATGTGCGGACCGCTTTACCGCTGACTCCGAAAAGCCGGACCTCTTTACCGCGGTGGCCACACGGAGGACGTAAACTGTGGGTGACTGTGGACTATTGTGGCGCGGACTCCTGTCACTAATAATGTCTGTATCTGCTTCACTGGACACTTGCGTGTCTTCCTCCTCTGAATCTGAGTGAGCCAGTACCAAATACTTCTCTGATCTCTGTAGACCTCTGGCTCTGCTCTGGCTCCGCTCAGAACTACGGCTCCTGCTTCGCTGCGCCGCAGGTGTTTTACAAACTCATTTTACTCTAATACTTTGAATATAACCATTCCCACAAAGGCCGCTCATATTAAAGGCACACATGTCCACTAACTCCTCGTGAAAAGTATTAACAAAAATTACTGCAATAAACGTGTGTGGTTATTATTATTTTTTTCTGGGGCATTGGACCTTCTATGTTTTAGAAAAAATGTAAACGTTAACAAAATCAAAAGTGTCTCAGCCTGTACTTGAACCTAAGTCCTCTGGCACCACAGTCCATCTCCTTATCAATGAGCTATAAAGCCTCAGCAAATCGTCCGGTGAAGAGAGAATAATGAGCAGTGAGAAGCCAATGTTCTCTGCTCACAAGTGCCACCTGGTGGTTGTTTGGGTCATTGCAGCATCACTGGGAAAAAAACAAATAAAAGACGCGTGAATCACACGTGAGTCTTGTGTGATTCACGCGTGAAAGGCGACAAAACGAAATGGGACCTACTGTAGCTATGTTCACCCGGGCTTTATTTCTTCTTTGATAATTTTTTCGCTTTAGTTCCCTCTTCTCATCCTCACTGTAGCGTCGTTTGGGCTGTTTTGCTGTGTATGCAGTCACAGGAAGAGGAGTTATAGCCAATTCTGCTTACATGCTACTGTGTTTACCAGCGCTGTAGAGGCTAGAGGACGCAGCCTGTTCTGTGATTGGACGAGAACGAGCGTCACGCCAAATCTCTACTACTACTATTTTTATCGGCCTGAATTCATTCACAAGCTGAATCAATGAGCTCAAATTTTCAATTAAATTACGGATTATAATATAACTTGTACTCTATGTAGTAATAAGCATTTTTATGAACTCATTAGAAAGAAAATTGGGTATAGCTTCTTTAAGTACTAGTTTAAGTGTTCCTGATACAACACTGCGCAGCAGGGTGGCCAGGTTGGGTGGTTTCCCGCATAAATTTTTTTTCCAAGCGTCTAGTAGGTAATAATAAACAGAAAGACAATAAACAGAATCATGATAGCCCAAGTTGATTACATTACTTTTTTAGCAAAGAAATCATTCTGGGTGTTTTTTTTTTGGGCATCCTCACAGGTTTTGTTGCAGTCGTGTGCCGAGTTGTGTGCTTCAATGTGAGTGGTTGGTAGGGGTGGGAACCTAAGGGTACCTCACGATACGATACGATACACGATACAAAGCTCACGATAACGATAATATCACAATAACGATTTTATCACCGTATGACGATTATTGATATATTGGTCAGAAATATACAATATGCCAATTTATGGCATAAATAGAAGAAAAAACACTCTTTATTTCATGATAAATATAATGGAGATGCGTAATGTAGCCATATATTAAGTATTGATACCAATTCAAAAAAAAAAAAAACAGTAAAAACTTTTTTTTTTTTCAAAATTGATATCGATACTTGGCAAATGCATATCGATAATCGAATCGCGGGAGAAACACAACCCCTAGTGGTTGGAGGAACACATCTTTCAAGATAACAGAATCCTTGCATGTGGTTTATCCAATCACATACAAGGATTTTTTTACAGGCCCCACCTTCTGAAATGAGGTATGAAGCAGACCTAGACCCTTGTGTGAACTACAAGGGTCTGGCGAGTGCCAGGCTATGTTATTACATCCCTGTTCATGAATAATCTCAGCAAGCAACTATTTACACAACACAGAAGTAGGTTGACATACAATATTTATTTAGGCTCACAAAAATGATAAGTTAATCATCAGGTAGTCCACAAATATTGTGGGAATGGTCTCATACAGTCAAACATGGGAAAACCTATATGAGAAACCATTTAGAAACAGGCCCACCAATAAACGCGTAGATATAACCAAATAAAGTATGGAGCATAAAAAAGGATGAACTGAAAAATACGTTGAAAATAAAAAGATTTTTGTGATCGGCATAATTTCAAATGACTAATTCATCTTTTAAAAAAACACCCTTGACTGAAGTAAAGATTTCCCTATAAAATAATATTCAGAATTGACAGAAAGCCGGCAGGCCCTTTTTGTGGTATGAAAGGGTGTTTCCTGCTCAAAACAAGACACTGAAGTGCAGTGAAAACCCTGTGAGAGGTACATTTTCTGTAGTGCAGCAAACGAACCAGCAGTGGGCTTCGCTCAATCGAAAGTCTTCTCACACATTTCACATCAGAGACTGAATGTTGATAAGTCACCATTTACATTGTATTGGCTGAGGGAATGAGAAGTGCCTCCCCATCCCCTGAACAGATCTTCTGATTATGTATATTTGCTACAAAAAGTTTTACACTTTTAGAAACAAAGCATGCAAAGTGGCTTACAAAGATGGAGTAGATGTGGTTTATATATGTAGCGGTGTTAGCTGCTGTTGATTCACTCCACAAAAAAAATTCCCCTCACCCTCTTATTAAAATCTGTCCTCAAAAAACTATCAACAAAAACAATTATAATAAACAATATTATAATAAACCATGATTTATCATTATGCTTTTAATATCCAAATTTCCATGAAAGTATAAGCATGTATACGGTGGACAGTAGAAGTCCTGAACTTTAAAACATGCTGGCGCTGAAGGAATGCCATTGCAACTAGGAAAAAGAAACCTATAAAACATGTCCTGCATTGATGAAGGTTGGTTTAAGAATCCCTGATTGGCTGAGAAAAGTCAGGTGAGGTAAGTACGTACCACCTTGAGGATGGGGATGACATGGTGTATCTCTAAACTCTAAGTGACTGTTACGTTGGATTACAAATGATCGACTCGCTCACATGTTGACACTCTCCGTGATCCTCTTCAACTCTGCGTCCATGTCCTTCTCCTCATGCAGCACAGAAAGACGCCAGTGAGACGCCCCAGATCGAAAATGAAGAGAAACAAGTGAAATCTGCTGCTTCAAATTTTTTCACATCAAAGAATCCTTGGCCATTTTTAAAATTATCTCTTTTTAATTCAATAATATTTCTCTTATCTATGCATTTATTTATGAAAAACTAACAAAGGTTTGAGTTGCTCTTCGTACTATGTGTGTGCGTATATATTTTTTAAAATATTTTTGTATTGACATTTGCATTGGTTTACTTCTCCTCCATGTCCACAATGAGTTTTTCTTGGTTTGCGTAGTTCATCTCTTTCTATGGTGAAGGTGTCACCCAGCAGGTCGGGCACACAGACTAAAGCCATCCCACCCCAGTCCTCAGTCCTGTGCAATGCTTCATCTCTCCGCTTCCATGGCAACGTTGGCCTTTTGCTCCTGGCCTGTGTGAGGGTTGACGGGTGTGGGCCAGGTGGGACAGGGCTGTGTGGGGGGCTGCCCCTGAGTCCAAAGTCCCTGTGTGGGCTGTGGTGCACTCACGGCCGCCGACATGCCCCAACCTTGAGGGACGGGCGGAGACGTGGCCATAGCGGCGGCCATACTGCTGCCTCCGCTCCCGCTGTTAAAGCTCTCTGATGCTTTGAGTCGGGAGAACATGGTCAAGGCGTCTGGAAAGTTTGGGGGTGTGGCTGGTGTGTTGGCCGGGGTACACATCTGAAAGACCAAATACATGTCAATGTTGCACAAAAAATGTAATTTAAAAGCAGCTTTTCAAAGATTTTGTGAAATGTTAATGTTTGAATATGAAGTCCTTAAATGTAATATTTAGAACATCAAGACAGTTGTACAATCAAATGTGTGTCAGTGTGTCAGGAGTGTTTGTTTTTCACAGAGGACCTGGGTGTACTATCAAAGTTGCAGGGTGAGTCCAGGTTTCTCTGGGGAGGTCAGATTAAGTGTTAATGTGTCCCTTAGAGAACTAAACACATCCTCAACTTGTTTTTGTTCAATGAAACACACCCATTGTTACTTTTAAGGTAGAGATCCATACCATACCATAACCTGGCACAGACCTAACAACGATACCAAATGATTTTAAGGTGTAGACTTAGGGCACGGTCACATAGGTTTCCACAAAGGAACTAGGCCAAGTGGCTCGGATCGTCGCCACAGCGGTGTGAAGACGGACTGCGGTCAAAAGGGTTTATTTTTTCAACCGTGCCAGCCCAGCAACTTCAGCGACTACCGCAGGGTCCGAGTTAAGTTTCTGTTTGCCTTTCCATTTACACTAGGCAACTGTGCGCTAGGGCTTTGACTTCGAAGTTAGTATATATATATATATATATATATGAGTGACAGTAGCTCAGTTGGTAGAGCATTGGCCTTCAGGCCTGAAGGTCGTGGGTTCAATTCCCACCTCTACACCTTCTCCACCGACTCCCGCTGATGACTGCTGTCGTTGTGCCCTTGGGCAAGACACTTAACCCCACTTTGCCCAAAGCCCCCACTGAAAGATCAAGGCTATGCTCACACTCAGAGAGCAGCCGTCCTCCTGTGGACTCACCACCTGCAGAGGGTCAGTGAGGGGCTGGTGCTATGAGACTTGGGTGGCATCTCTGACTGCCACCCCCCTGACCCAGAAATGGATTAAAGGGTAGAAATGGATGGATGGATGGATGGATGGATGGATGGATGGATATATATATATATATATATATATATATATATATATATATATATATATATATATATATATATATATATATATATTCGGACATGCTGCCAACCTATTTCAGAACAGGTGCTCTCATATTGCCAGCCGTTTCTGATGATTTTACTGAATTTTCAAGACCCACAGAATATTGTGTACTATGACTATCTGAAATCCAAAACCAGATTCTGAAAGAATGGACTGACATTTATATATAGAGATAGAGATAGAGAGACCGGAAGTGCAGGCTCATGTCTGCTTGCTTCCTGTTGTAAATGGACACTCTGAAAAAGTCTGTGTGCCCTCAGTGATCCTCCCTGAACGGGATGGAGTTGGCAGGCAGGCAAAGCTACACAGATTGGACGAGTGGCTATAGTGACAATCAATGCCACCTACCTTCACTTTGACCTTTGAATCTACTGTTTAAAGAGTGAGTAAGTGCTGACAAGACATGGTCAAACTATCCTCAAAAGATAATCATGTCTGCATGTAGGATATTCACTCACAATGACCATGTTAAAAAGAATGTGCACAAAAGCAAAAGAAAGCACATAAAGTCAATGGAGAAAAGAAAAGTGCAGATATAGCATCTATTTATCCCTCACATGCACTGAAGTCTGAATGTTTCCCAACTTGAAACTACCTGCATGTGATTATGGAATAATCATATGCAGGTATAAGTTTAATTACAGCCAAATCTTCTTAAATAATATTTGCAATTATGATAATATAATCATGATATATGGGATTTAGCACCTTCACAGACAACAAAAACCTTTTTAGTGCATTAATCATTCATTCCATAAACATTGGTTAGCTGCCATTATATTCACTGAGGCAAGGTACATTTTGGTCAATTTCAAAAATGAAATGTAGAATAGATATTATCAAATTTTATAGGCCTACTAACCATCATTCATTAGACAAACCAACACAAACAAGTTTCATCATTTTAGTGTAGGGGGGCGCTGCTGAGAACCTGTGTAGTAGGTTGTGCTTTTGTTGCTCCTCTGAAATGTTAATTTGATATTTTGCACCACTTTTTTTCTCTGGAGAACCAGTCTGAAGACTAATGTTTCTGTACACGCATGTTGGGACGAATTAACGTGTTTTCAGCGCTAATTATGAAGAAAACTGACATCGGTGTGACAACACGCAGCACTAGCAAGTCTGAGCATGAGGGGGCTGCTACAACAATGGCTGAATCCGAAGAAATGTTCTACATGTAAAATATTTCTCTTCATTTGATAGAATTTATTCAAATCATCTTTGTTGTTCCCTAGTTTATACTTTGCAGTATTGCAGTGATAGATTCATTTTCATTTTATTCGCCATTTGCAGTAACACTACATTGGAATACATTAGTAAAAGTTCCCAGTGTGCACAGGACAAGTACAGACATAAAACAACATTAAAAGACAAAAATATTTTTTTTTTTTAAAACAGTAAACAAATGTCACTGTGAAGTTGACCAACTAAAACAGATCTATACAAGTGCAAAAACATTAAAGTGCTCTATTCAAACTGATAACAGCTCGTGGAAAAAAACTATTAGCATAACGAGATGTGATAATCGTTTAGGATTATTATAGCATAGAGTTTATAGACATTTGTTTTGGTTTTTTGTACATATTTGACTATTATAAAACATATTGTTTAGAACTTTTAATAAATGCACAGTGCAAGCAAGGAGGGGAAATATGTCTTACTTGTTTTATTTTATTTTAATAATAATATTATGCCCCACCATAAAAATCCACTGGAGAGTAGGGTTGTCATGGTTTAAGTTTATTTCCTGTTTTACTTTGAAATGTGTTCCTGTTATTGATTACATGCTTTGCCCTCCTGCCCCGCCCTCATCTGTATGACCTGTGTCTTGTTAGTCTTATTATTTAGCCCTGTGTGTTCCTTCACTCCCTGTTCCGTCATTGTCAATTCTCGTCTGTTTCAGTCCTGTCCCCTGTGTTTTTACAAGATCTTGATTTGTATTACTTTTTTATCAAATCCATTATTTTGCAGTTTTGGGTCTCCTTGTTTTTCACTCACATGATAGAATGGACCAGCCACGAAAGGACTCAGCAGTATGCTTTTTTATTTCTTGCCACACCTGCTTCCAGTTTGTCATCAGGTTTTTATTTTTGCGGATTTCCTTCTCTTCAGTGTACCTCTCGACCTGCTACCTTGAAGCCAGGCAGGAAACTCCGTATGGGGTGGTTATTTGTCTGCAACACCGCCGGGCATTATTGTCCGTCCGGGGTGGTGTTCTGTTCCCCTCCCCTTGGCCTGTTGTGGGGTCAACAGTGAAGTCCTGTTCTGGATATTCCGCTCTGCCTGGATTTTTCTACCTATTTTGGCTGCTACCCTATGATGACCTCTCCTTAACCCATTTCAGGTCGTTAGACAGAGTTAAACCCAGAAACTTGCACTCCTCTACGATCTGCACCTGGGAGTTGTCGATTACGACAGGCAAATGAGAACTATTGCGACTGAAGTCGTAGACCAGTTCACATGTTTTTGATGCGTTCAACTGGAGGTTGTTAGTTTTACTCCACTGAACCACATTTTGTATCTCTGCTCTATAAGAGGATTCATCATTGTCACTGATGAGACCGATGATGGTGGTGTCATCAGCATATTTAATGATCAAGTTTGAGTCAGAGGAGGACACACAATCGTGAGTGTACAAAGTAAAAAGCAAAGGACTCAAAATACATCCCTGAAGAGAACCAGTGCTCACAGAAACAACATCAGAAAAACAGTCATTGATTTTCACTCGCTGAGATCTGTCAGTTAAAAAGCTAAAAATCCATTTACACATGGCAACACTTAAACCGAGAGACATGAGCTTTTCAATCAGTTTACCTGGGACAAGGCAGTTAAAAGCAGAGCTATAATCGATGAAAAGCATTCTCGCGACAGATTTACTAGTGTCCAAGTGACTGTAGACAGAGTTCAGAGCAAAGGAGATGGCATCCTCCACACTCCTGTTCTGTCTGTAAGCAAACTGGAGCGGGTCAACACTCACAGGGATCTGGCTCTTAATGAAGTCCAGCACAAGCCGCTCAAAAGTTTTCATAAGAACAGACGTGAGGGCCACAGGACGATAGTCATTTAGCCATGTCACAGGAGTTTTCTTAGGAACTGGAATGATGGTCGACTCTTTAAAGCAGTTCGGCACAGTACAGTTCCTTAGCGACAGGTTGAAAATGTCTGTTAGCACAGGGGCAAGTTGCTCAGAGCACAGTTTCAGGACACGGGGTGGGATGCCGTCCGGGCCTGGGGCTTTCCGGACTGTGGTCCTGGACAAGACACGCCTGACTTCCTCCTGAGTCACGGTGAAGGTACCTTGATTGAAACACTCAGGGAATACAGTAGGACAGGCATCAGCGGATTCAGAGCTTGGCATCAGCGGATTCAGAGCTTGGCCGACAGATGCAATTTTCCCAGCGCTAGGTTTCCACGATGTGATGGCTTTAATACCGTTCCACATGCGCCGAGGGTCATCTTCCTCAAAATAACTCTTTAACCTGTCCCCGTAACTGCGCTTTGCAGATTTAATAGAACGTTTCAATGAGTAACAGGATAGCTTATAAGCAACTGTATCATTTGATTGAAACGCCAACGCACGCTCATGAAGTTTCAGTTTCACTTCCGCGTTCATCCAAGGGTTTTGACTAAAATGTTCTTTAATGACCTTCTGTGGGACACAGCCGTCAATACAGAAGCGTATGTATCCAGACACAGCGTCACAGAATTCATTGACGTCCTCTGACTGAAACACAGACCAGTCGGTAGCATCAAAACAACCTTGTAGCTTCATGCTAGCCTCCTCAGACCAACACTGCACAGTGCGAGAGGTTGGTTTATGTTCCCTGCTCCTCTGAGTATACGAAGGAAGAAGGAGAACAGAGGAGTGGCCAGACTTTCCAAAAGGAGGTCTGAGACTGGACCTGTAAGCTCCCTTCACGTTACTGTAGCAGTGATCCAGAACATGTGCTCCTCT